CTGAACCGCTCAGGAACAATTTACAAGAGCGTGCAATTGCTGGCTTATGCCGATGGCATCGATATCATCGGTATCAAAAACCGCAAAGTCTGTTCTCCCTTTTCCAAGTTGGATAAAGAAGCAAAGCGAATGGGTCTGGTGGTGGTAAACGCGGACAATACGAAGTATCTCCTTTCATCAAACCCGCGATTTTTTATTAAGAAATTTTTTATATTTATCACAATTTTTTTTAACTTTTGCACAAAGTTAAAACGAAAGTATGCATATGCATAATTTCGGTATTTTCTCATATGTATGTTTCGGTTTTCAACCGAAACTGTGCATGTATGCATTACTTTGGGTTTTTCATATGCATTATTTCGGTTTCCAACAGAACCTGTGCATGCATGCCCTATTTCCGTTTCCAACCTTCGTCTTTATATGCATTATTTCGGTTTTCATCCGAAACTGTGCATTATTTCGGTTTTGAACAGAAATTGTGCATTCATGCATTATTTCGGTTTTTGGTATATGCATAATTTCGGTTTTCTAACGAAAGTGTGCATATGGATAATTTCGTTTTTTTCTAATATGAATTATTTACATCTACTTAGTAGGGGTTTTAATCCCTAAGCGCGGCCGAAGGCCACCTACGCAGAGGGAAGTTCTGCGCAAAAATACTTCCGCCCTTCTTTTCTGGCAATACAGAAAGGAGAGTTCTACTTAGTAAGGGTTATAATCCCTAAGCGCGGCCGAAGGCCGCCTACGCAGAAATAAGTTCGTTTTCTTGTATGCACTATTTCGGTTTTTGTCATATGCAATATTTCGGTTTTAGGTCGAAACTGTGCATGTATGCATTACTTCGGTTTTTATCATATGCATTATTTCGGTTTTGAACCGAAACTATGCATGTATGCATTACTTCGTTTTTGTCATATACGTTATTTCGGTGTTCAAACGAAAGTGTGCATATAAATATGCATTATTTTGGATTTTTTATATGCGTTATTTCGGTTTTCAACCGAAACTGTGCATTAGAGTGGTTCATAAAAACACTATTTTTGGAAATTCATAAACGCTACATCAGAATATTGTTATTTGTGATAAAAGAGACACGTATTTATTTATTTTGAAAAAAAAAAGTTTTCTTAGAGGTCGCGCTGGTCGGTTTTTTATAAAAACGCTGATGTTCTAAATTTTTTTATTTTCTTGACATGTTAAAATGCAGCTAAAAATGTGGTTTTACTCTGGTATTATTGGGGAACTTTCCCTTAATTACACACCTGTCTTGGACAATTAGAGAGGGTCTAGTTCCCGAAAATATGCTCTCGAAAAGGCACTAGTAAAATTAAAACGTTGATACTAAACGATTTACGCATTGCCATGGATTGGAACTTGTTACCAGGGGGTTTCTGGGGTTGCTAATTAGTAATCTGAAGTCAGTTTTTCGAAATTCAAAATGGCGGATCCAAAATGGCGGTCCATTTTTTTTTTAGATGATTGAATTTGTTCAAAACCCGGCACTCGAGAGTTTTTGTGGTCGCCGATTACGAATCTGAAGTCATTTTTTTTTTTATTCAAAATGGTTGATCCAATATTCAAATTAAAAAAGGTCCTAAAATTAAAACGTTGATACTGAACGCTTTAAACATTGTCAATGGTTAAAACACGTTTCCAGTGGGTTTCTGGGGTTGCTGATTACGGTGGTGGATCCAAAATGGCGACCAACTTAAAAAAAAAATTATTGGATTTGTTTGAAACACTTAACCGCCATTTTGAATTTTGAAAATCTGACTTCAGATTCGTAATCAGCAACCCCAGAAACCCACTGGAAACGTGTTTTAACACTTGAGAATGTTTATACCTTCAGTATCAACGTTTTAATTTTAGTACTTTTTTCAATTTGATCGCCATATTGGATCCGCCATTTTGAATTTAAAAAAAACTTCAGATTCGTAAATAAAATGGCGACCAACTTAAAAAAAATTATTGGATTTGTTTGAAACTCTTAACCGCCATTTTGAATTTTGAAAATCTGACATCAGATTCGTAATCAGCAACCTCAGAAACCCACTGGAAACGTGTTTTAACCCTTGAGAATGTTTAAAACGTTCACTATCAACGTTTTAATTTTAGTACTTTTTTTTATTTGATCGCCATATTGTATCCGCCAGTTTGAATTAAAAAAAATGACTTCAGATTCGTAATCGGCGACCACAAAAACTGTCGAGTGCCGGGTTTCGAACAAATCCAATCATTTTTTTAAAAAAAATTTACCGCCATTTTGGATGCGCCATTTTGAATTTTGAAAAACTGACTTCAAATCCCTAATTAGCAACCCCAGAAACCCCCTGGTAGGTAACAAATTCCAACCCATGACAATGCGTAAATCGTTCAGTATCAACGTTTTAATTTTACTAGTGTCTTTTCGAGAGCATATTTTCGGGAACTAGACCCATTCTAATTGTCAAAGTCGGGTGTGTAATTAAGGGAAAGTTCCCCAATAATACCAGAGTAATTATATGTAAAAACCACATTTTTAGCTGCATTTTAACATGTCAAGAAAATAAAAAAATTTAGAACATCAGAGTTTTTATAAAAAACCGACCAGCGCGACCTCTAAGATAACTTTTTTTTTTTTTTTTTTTTCAAAATAAAAAAACACGTTTCTCTTTTTTTACCTTCCTTTTATTAGCTCGGGATGTAACTATGTAGTATTTATGCGCCTAAAAGATGCAGCGATTTCTATTCTCAAGTTACATACCTGATGACAGACCAATGGCAATTATAATAGGGAGATTTTAGTTTTTTAAACTATAATTTTATTATCACAAATAACAATAGCTTGAGGTAGCGTTTATGAATTTCCAAAAAAAAAAAAAACAAATCACACTGCTGTGCATATATGCATAATTTCGGTTTTTCTAATATGCATTATTGCGGGTTTCAACCGAAAATGTGCATATATGCATTATTTCGGTTTTTTTCATAGGCATTATTTCAGTTTCAGCCGAAACTGTGCATATATGCATTATTTCGGTTTTTTTCGTATGCATTATTTCGGTTTTTTCATATGCATTCTTTCGTATGCACAGTTTCCATATGCACAATTTCAGGGTGCCTACTTATTATATTTTTTGTTTCCTAGTACATAAAAAAGATAAATAAATAATA